AATAAGCACTGTGTAAATAAGTAACAGCATTTTCTCTATTAAATTTAACAAGCAGTACATTTCTGATACCTCCCCTTTTCAATGCATTATGGGCCAACTCTGCACAGCCTGCTTTCTCCCCCAGTGTTTTTAAAAGGCGGAGTACTCACATCCCATTGATATTGAATAGGGTTGGACATCATATTTCTGTCCAGTGGGTCTTCAGCTTTACACAAGTGTCAGATATTAGAGGCTTGATTGAGTTGTCCTGAATGTTTAATAAGGATCATCTTTTCCATCTCCTTTCCTAAACGTTACATCAGGGATTCCACTTCATGCAACTGCCACCTTCGAGAAATCCTCGACCGACTCCATAGTGAGCAATCAAACAACGGTTGTGGCACTGTAGCAACACCCATGGAGAGTTTATTGAGATATGGGCACACTGTTTTCTGATTAAAAGCTGTGAAGCCTACGATGTGGCAATAATGCAAAACAGAGCCCAGCCAGTACAGAAAAAATGGCAATGTTTGATGTAATCATTACTAATAGTTATTTAATAACCAAATTTCCCATGTAGCATTTACACTGAGCCATAAGAGCTGAAGCTGACCAAAGTTTGTGCAGGACAGTCTCAAAATATAGTAGATTTTGGTATACATGAGCTACTGAACAGAGACCTCTGGGATAGGTAGTAAGATACTCAAACACAAAGGTGTAAGGAAATCTTTAGCCCTACATTAAAATAAAACTCATTTAGATTTAATTAAGGACGCACTGATTGAGTTGGGTGTCAGCCAGGATGTGACCGATCTACATTAAACACAGATTCTTTGCCTGACTTATTCTAAAATTTTAGTTACATTCAGGTACAACAGGCTACTGACTGTTTTAGTCCCACAGCTGTCCCTGGCCTAGTGTTACTTTATATAAAAATAATCCACAAGAAGATTTTAAATTTGCGAAAAAGAGAACACTAGTATCAGATTAATACTCTGTGTTGCAGTTACTCCAAGCTGAGGTATTGTGATTGGTACCGGGAAAGAAAAAACTGGATCTGTGCATCTCTAGATTAATGTTATGAGCCCAGTCTCTCACTAACCAGATGGACAACCACCAAGTGTCAACTGCTGTCATCATCAAATCATCAGTGACTTCCAAATTATGGAGAGAGTTATCTGAGTCTGCAGGAATCGAAATCCCTCGACTTCCCCACAATATCTCCCCCAACAGCACACTGTCTGTAGCGGAGTATATTTCCTCTGTGACACACTGGGTGTACCCTGTCTACTGCACATGAATAAATGGACGGATTTCGCCTTTAATGTGACAGACTGACGTGCAGGCCTTGGCGTTGGCCCTCCTGTGATGCAGCTCAGTAAAACCAATGGGGAAACATGCGCTGTGTTCAATCTCATCAAGAATCCTGTTTATTTTATTATTCGTGTGAATCTGGTCCTTCGTGTGCTGATAGATAAAATACATTTTGACAGATTAAAGAAAGCAGCTGCAAGAGGGTCTGCGTCACCAACCTAGCAGGCACCAGAAAACATCGTTACAGCTATGATATGATATAACCTGGCTCACGCAGGACGCGGTTAGCTACGATGCTGGTGGCGTGAGGAGCTGGTGGGTCAGCAGCTTGATGTCAACGGACACCTTCCCCCGCCTCTCCCTCGCATCCTTAGCAGGTGTGTATGAGCTGTGACCGACCCAGCTAACAGCAACACTGCATCTCTGACGACAGTACGCGTGTTGTCGTTTCTAACAACGCGGTAGGAATTCAACATTTGGCCGAGCTAAGTCGTGGTTAGCGTTGAAAGAGTGAAACAGAGATGTCAGGTGGAGAAGCTAAGGTAGTTACCGCTGAAGACCATGGCCGCAGAGGCTCCCATCACGGCGAAGAAAGGGGAGTACTCGGGGCTCTCCTCAGAAGACATTCTCGCTCTTCTCTCGGGGCGATACAGCTACAAGGCAGACTATGTTCTTTTTAGGGTTTCCCCTATCCCACCGTCAGCTTTGGGCTGGTTAAAACGCTGAGAGGGAGCGACAACGTATCTGCCAGCGAAGGGACCGGGTTTAGAAGAGGAAAATGGCGAAACGGAAAAAGTCACATGACCAACCACCTCGGGAGAATCCATTTGTGTGGACGTGGGGGTGGTCGACAGAAACAGGCTTTAAATATCTAACCCTTGTTGTATATTGCACCTAAAAATATCTTGTAGAACGTGTTGTTGTTCGGTAGCAATTTTTAAAGCAATTACATATTACAGAAGTTTGGAAAACCGTGAAATAAAATGTAGACTTTGTAGAGCGTGTGTGATGTGGTATCTTCTGCTGCAAGTGCACTGACTGCAGTTGAAACGCTAGTAGTCACTACACACTGGCGTATTAATTATTAGGTGTCAAATAAATCGTAAAATCAACCACTAAATACTGTGTTTTCGCAATAATTACAAAGTGAGACAACAGCGTAATGTAGAGACGATCAGCAAACACAATAACACAGTTTCAATTTCTAGCATACATCCGCCTCCGAATAGAGCACAGTATACATGTGTCTGTTGTATGTTGTTTTCACCATGGGATAACAAGCGTGGAAGGGAGATGTTCATTTAAATCAACATTAAACTCCTTGTAGGAGTCAAACAATTAAAGGCTGACTTGATTGAATGACCCGGAGACACACTCTGGAGCTCCCTTTGTCAAGGTGACACTGTAAAATGAAAATGGGTGTTTCTGATGTCAGCTAAAGGGACATTTCACCTCACTTCAGAACATTTGTTTCCTTTCTATGGCAGATTTTGTCTATAGATTAAATCTTTACCCAATCATATATTGTCTTCACGCAATAAATCTCCTAAAATGTATATTTCAACTATAGCATCCATTAGTGAGTCTTGATGGCTATCACAGTTTGTCATATGCATAATTTATTTATTTTATTTACTGAGGTTTATATCCTCAGAGCATTTTTGATTTGACTGAGGCCTCTTCCATAGAACCAACATGCCTTGTTTTTTGTCTTGATTTTCTGTATATTCAAAAACTAGTCATTGTAATTAAACAAACATTAAAGCTTTGACAGAATTTGAGTCAGATCAAATTAAATTTAAAAACTGATTAATAACTGATTTTTACTGCTGCAGTCCAATATCACAGGAGAAAAGGACATAGTGTACATTTGGCATCAGTAAAGACCAAGTTAGTCTGCATCACCGCAGCACAACACAACCACTTTTCATGATGAGGAAGGGCGTCTGCATGAAATGTCTGTGTAAATAAATAATTAAATTTTGATTTTGATTTTGGTTCATGACGAACAGTTTAATTTCTGACACCAGTAGCTTTGACCACAATACAAATTATACCGTAGGCCTACATCAGTTTAGCTGAGAGACATGTGCCTAGGTGAGTGGGTTATCTTGCTAAAACTTGCTTGACATGGAAATCTAAGCTTTACTTACTCCAGCTACCTCCCAGCTCCATCACATTACATGGCCTACATTCCCCCAAGCTTTTATATTCAGTATACTGGGAGAAAACACCTGCACTACTTGGTGATGTGTACCACACAGTGTAACAGACCTTCTGTATGCTGCAACATATTATTTTAAATTTTTAAATTTTAAATTTTATTGAAGAAGAAAAACATTTAAATTAATATCCCTCAATGCTACTTGCAAAGTTTCTCACTACTATTATAATGTATACATACAATAGACTTTGTGAGGACTGAAAAGTGAAAGCAGAGCAGATAGCTGGGAATGAACTGCACACACATGACTATCAGCAGCCTCTCTACCACATGCCTTTTAAAAAAAAAAGCTTAGTTCTGGTCAGAGCTCACTCATGTGACCTGTTCCTGCTTCAAGTATAATCACCATTTCTTTACAATAAGAGGAGGGTGTGTATTAACTTTCTATTGCTGCCTGTGTTTTGAAAATCCAAAACAAGTTGAGTAATTTTGATGATGCAACAGTCAAACTGTCAGTGATGCAACAGATAATAAAATGTGTAGTTTTTGTCAAACTTTGATTGTGCAAGGCATGAAATTCATGTTTTTATCCTCTGCAAATTTGAATTTGTTTTTCTGTAAATTTGGTTTCTTACCAGACAGAATACAAGTGGAAAAATATATTAACCAAAACATGGATGGCAGTCACAGTTACATTTTGCATCAGAAATAGTTTACCTGTTTACCTAATATAACAATAATAATTATCTAAACAAGTTTTAATCAGTTGCATACATCAGACATACACAGATAAATCCAGCTGCTATGTAATAAATATGTAAAATACTACTATATAACATCACTATTACAGTCCATAGGTCATTTAATAACTTTCACTCACAAAATTGATTGTCTTTTATATGTATTGTATATACAACAATTTATTTGATGTTTCATTATTTTCTGTAAGAAAGTGTTTTCGAATCAGACCTATGATATAAATTTTGTAATAGAAAAAATGATTTTTAACCGATTAATGCAGCCCAACTGTTTGTATTGTGTGCTGTAGCATATAACCAGCAGGGTACCTACAACTTGATATATGGTCTATTATACATATAAAGTTAAAATATATTCTAAAGTACCAACTACAGTGGTACAGTACTACAGTGCTCACACCACCTGCTGGCTGATTTGTTGACCAGTCACAGCGCTCTGTTGGATTTCTTCCTCCATGAATGCGAACTCTGTTAAAATGCATAAGTCGTCTTGTTTTTAATCAGAAATTAGTTAGAACGGCTACTGTGAACTTTAGAACAGTTTCTTCCAGTACCATTATGTCATATGCATCAGCAAGTGCTCAGTTAAAAAAGAAACTAAAAATGATGCTGAAAGTCAAGTGATGTGGAGGATTATCACTTTTCATTGTTTCTGTACTTTGAAGAGAAACCTCTTCTCTCAAGCATCTCAAAAAAGACAGATGTGTGTTGTGGGAGTCAGGGTCAGAATTATATATACAACAACATATCACAAGCAAAAGAAAACTGAACTACACACGGTCCGGACACTGTATTTTAATGAAAGATCAGGTTAAAATAATACACTTTAATGAAAGAAGCAGACATTAAAAATCACCATAAATATGCTACATAATCCTAATCACACTTTGCTCTAACATGATTGAGTAAATGTATCAGTAAGGGCAGCTCAGTATTCGGCTATACACAAACACAAAGGGTAGATTTCATCATCATTAAGTAAAAGTGAAGATATCCCAACTGTGCAGTGGAAACTGTAGATGTGAACCCGACTAATACACCGTCCAACTTAAGGCATCTCAGCGCACGCACGCACGCGCACGCACGCGCACACACACACACACACACACACACACACACACACACACACACACACACACACAACTACAATCAGAAGACACTCATACTCCAGATTTAAGAATTCTTTCAAGAGATTTTTGTGGGCTTTAACATTACTAATTCAACACACTGATTGCCTTTGGCACAAGATGAACAAGTGTCACTGATCTTACTATAAAATAAAAAAACAGGAATTTCACTGATAAAAAAAAAAAGCCCTCCCACTGCTCTAAGCATTCCCATACCCTCGCATCACTCGCAAATGATCTATGGGTTAAACAAGCCTAAATACTTTACACAGTTTGGGCCAGATAGTCTAAACTCAAAGGGAAAACCCAAATACCTGCATCTGATGTGTAAGAGGATTTTTTGACTTGCACTTGCCTCGCCCCCACAGAGCGAGGCTGTTTCGTGGTCACTGATAAGGGTTTTATCACTCGAACACGCACACGTGTCTGTGTGACTACATCTGCCAGTCTTTCACACACAAACCCTGCACTCATTCGGTCCATGTCCCAGCACAACTAGCAATTAGGATAGCGATATCAGCAAATGTGTTGTTGTGGTCGCTGGAAAAACACGAAGAACAGAAAAAGATAAGGCATCACATGCTACTCTTGGCAAAGCCATACGAAGTGAAAGTGTGGCACAGCGATGGCTTGAACACGGGATGAGGAAGCTACACTGGAACCCTTTTAAGTCGAGGGGGATGCAACTTTTGAAAAAGTCATGAAGAAAGATGAAGTTTTCCCCTCTCAGTCCCAGCCGTTGTCCTTTATCATGTGGGACAGCTCGATGATGTACTTCCCCTCCTTGTACTTCTGACTCAGTTCAAAGGCTTGTTCCTGCAGAAGGAAAGTCCAACAGGGTAAATAATAAAAGAAGATTAAAGTGTAGCTCAAACCAAACTTATACCCGGGTTGTGAACTGCTCAGTACTAATTTCATGTAGGGATATGCAGAAACTCTTAATGTGTCATTTATTCAACTCTTTAACTATCTAATCATAACAATATTAATATGAATAATATTTAAAATTTCAAACTTGTTCTTCAAGCTTGATACTATGTTAATTTTTTCACTGAGGAATCATTTGTCCACCCCCCCCCCCCCCCCCCCCCCCCCCCCCAAAAAAAACACTGTAGCATTATTGAGAAAGAGTGTATGAATGTGTAGCAATATGTGCTTCACACACACAGGAATAACAAAATACATTAAGCCATCTCCAAAAACATCATAAAATGTGTTAAACTGTATTTATATTTGTACATTGAGGGGTGATGATGTAACTTTGGAGCCTACACCATAATGGTTGTAGCTACACTGAAGCTGATGTGTAGCTTCTCAAAAATTTAATTAAATATGTGGGTTAGAAAGGCGCCACATGGGGACTGCAAGAACTGTGAGTAGCCCGTTTTGGATGTCAGACATCTAGCAAAGCCATCTCTACTTCAATCCTTCAAGCTCACCACGACCACTCTTCTCCATCACAGACAATGAATGAAAGTAAACGTGGGCAGGACCTGACCTAATCATGTGCGATAAATCAATTTAAAGCTACAGGGGTGCGATTAATGGATGAAATATGATGCCGAGCTGTAAATGGTAGGGCCCAGGTTAACCCCTTTTCGTAAAAGCATAAATCCAGTTTAATGGTCAACAAGCCAGCATCCTCTGTGCAGGAATACATGCTTACATATTTCCAGCCCAGTGTGGTGTGACAGTTTTCACAGTAGATGTCGGCCACTGCGTGAAGTCCTGTGAGCAGCAGCCTCTCCTCTGCAGGACCACAGCCGACGTTCACCCTGAAACCAAACGCAGTGTCATCAAACAACAGCTCTTCTCTGATTCACAGTACTAAAATCATTCTCCTGTCCACGCACAAGTACAATTTCATCACTCTGGTGTCAAACTAATATTCTTGATGAATTATTTGTGAGGAAAAAAAGACTAAAGTTCATGAAACAGTCATGGGGAAATGGAGGAAACCATTTAGTGACTCACCTGAGCAGATGAAGTTTAAATTGAATCGGTGCTAATAAAGCTAGATTAAGTTATTTTGACTGGGGAACCTTGATGCCTTTGCAAGTTATGGTTACAGCCAGAGTATTCCTGACCTACTAACCCAGTAGGAACGTGACTAAAGTTAACTCCCCCAACTTCAAGGTCCAGTCTGCAGTAAATCAAATTATCTGTTGACAGTGTGTAAACATGTCTGATACTGGGAATTTGTTTTCAGGGAGAACATGACTATTTTTGAAATAATATACTGGGAAAATAAAATAAAATCATAGATTCACAAACTTCTTTTTGCTTGTAAGGCCCACAAAAAACTTACAAGGCCACTAATCTATCCTGAAAAGATTTGATCATAATGTAGGGTGAATACAAAGGAATATTTATTGATTTGATTTATTTGATGTGATTTCTACCTTTCTACTTAGTGATAATAGGTCCAAAAATAAGACTGGAAATCTGCGATTAAGTGTAGCCACTTTAGTACAGTCAATGTGCCAACAATAAGTAATATTTAAAAATAAAATACTCACACAGAGTTGAAGAGGTAGGCTCGGCCCTGACTGCCTTGGAAAGACTAGATGACAGAGGAAAAATTAAATTAGAGAAAAAATGCAAAACAATGGGGATACTTCACATACATACATATGGATCAAAAAGACAATATGATCTCAATTGTAATTTCTCCACTTTCACAAAATATACCCAAAATGTAAGTTTGAGACATCTCCTTTAAAGGTTTATGTCAGTCCAATTTTCTACTTTCTAAACTCTGCGAGAACCATGAAGCAGTGTACGAGCTGAACGAAATGATCATGAACAACAAAGGGTGGCAGCAAACTGACCTTGGAGATAAGATCGTCATGGTTGGCCAGATGGGCGCGGCAGTGCACACAGCTGTAACGGCGGTGGCAGGAGTCCAGGTAAGCCTGGAATGTCTTGGCCTTTGTCAGCTTCACCATGTCTGAGGAGGAAAGGAGGAAGCAGGATGGTGGTTTATTGTTGTGCATGGGTTAGTGATGCAGGCATACAGGCTATGACTCCTGAGACCAACTAATTAGTGATAAAGGAGTGGTGCTGGCCGGGTTCCTTTCCTGTGTTATTTTGATCAACTTTACTCCTATCTGTGAGGAATTCCAGGACATCAGACAGACAGGTTTTCCAACAAGTTAGAACATAACTGATAATAGCAAGATGCCGTTCCCAAGCTTTATCCCAAAATAACCTGACCAAAGTAAGACAGAAACAACCAGAGCATTAACTGGCCAGACAATGTCCAGAATAAAAGTCAACGTAATGTCTTAACTGAGGACCCGCTTCATAAATCCTTTGCTGGCTTTGTTATCTGTCAAATTATAGAGTGGATATCAAGAGAAAGTGAGAAATCATACGACAAAACTTTGGGCTCAGGTAACTTCTGGGTTTCTTCTTTTATAGACAAAGTTAATTGATTTAAAAAAAAAAAAATCTATGGAAGCCCAATTCATAATTTAGACTTCCTATCAGCAAATTTTTGAGCTGGAATGATTAGCCAACTACTCTGATAGTCAATTAATTATTTTAGTCATGAATAATTACTTCAGTCATTTTTTAAGCAAAAGTGTCAAATATTTCTTATTTTCTTAGTTCTCTAATAAGATGTCTGATTAAGCTTTGGTTTCTAGACAGAAATTGGCTTCCATAGAAATGGACACTTTAATCTACTAAAATACGTGAAATGCAGCCCTAGTAAACAACCTGAATGTGTTGCAATCATGCATCTGTGTTATTGTCACTGTGCAGAAACTGAGAGTCATAGAGTCAAAGTAACGTTTGTAACAAAGCAAGTGTTATTGTAAATTAACACAATTAGTTGAGATTTATGCTGGCAGATGGGTTAGGGCAGCCGTTTATCAAGCAGCTTGTTTCCTGGTTCATAACAGTTTGCACAAAGAATTGTCGCTTCATTAGCTGCAATCAGTTAACCCAAATTCAAGCCCTGCTGCGACGTTTCTGCACCGTCCAACACTGGTGACCGTCTACCAGTGGTTAAATAATGACACACAAGCCCACAAGCGGCCTGATGCATGTGTCAGCTACAGGAGAAATTAGCTCCGACCTAGCGTGTGTGTTAGCTAGCTGGCTGGCTAGCTCCGCATAGTCACAACAGACAGCAGCTAACAGCAGCTCAGAAGCGCATTGCAGGATATTCCTCGGTGTCTGTCGACTCACCTGATACTACCGGAGCTCTTCGCAGTCTAAGCAGCGGCCCAATGTTACTGACAGCTGAAAACCATGCGATTACAGCCGGTATTAGGTCGGCAGGTGTGCTCGGTTCAGCAGTCGACCACCACGCGTTGACCGTTCGGACAATGAAGACAACACCGACAGTCTCTGGTTGTTGCAGCGTTTACCCGCGTCTCTTTTTTGAACTAGCTTTCAAAGCTTCTCCGCGGCCTCTTCCTTAACACAGGAGCAGGAATCCGACAATGCTGGCAAGCTGACAGGGTGAGAGTGCGGCGGCCCCGGCGGGAGGAAAAATTTGGTTTGTTTATGAAAACACGCAGAGGAGGAAGTCTGAAGACTGCAAAACAAATCCCTGTCGACCAATGAGAGCCTCAGAGTGACGTTTAGAATGTGGGTCAACCAATCAGATTCGACTTCACATGAGCCCTTTATTGCCATCAGAATGATTGTTGGTACAGTTTCATGAAGGCTGTTCGTGGGTTATCTGCTCCTGCTGCTGGATTTGGGGTGAAAGTCTCCTGTAGACTGACTTAAAAGCAGTAGTGGCATGTGACTAAGTACATTTATTCAACTACTGTACTTAAGTTCACACTTAAGGTACTTGTACTTACCTTGAGCATTATCTTTTCATGCCACTGTGTACTTCTACTCTCAAAATCTGCTATTTTGATAATAGATAAATACTTGGTGTTTCCAACTTATCAAATATGAGGATTTGATGCTCTTGTTTGTCACACTCAATAGTAAACTCAATATATTTTTCTGATTTTATGCTGCTGGTAAAACAAAAGAAGATATTTGAAGATGTCAAAATTACTCACAAGTGAAGATGGTAAAATCTAAAATGCGAAATTTCTCACTTTTTTCTGGCGTTTTGTAGTTAGTTGTAGCCCTAAAATATTGCTCTTTTTTACCTATCAGATATTTTAACCTATTGTCCTATCCTACTCAGCAGTATTGACAAGCATCAATAAAGCATCAAGAAAATTAACTGCGCTTTTTGGATAATTTTCAAGACAGGTTTATCAGGTGTTGGCTATTGCATGGACAAAATAAGCCCAAATTGACGTTTCACAATAATACGCATTTGTTTTGTCCAAAACCCAAAAGATACACAAACACACACACACACAGAAAATTAAGACAAACAGCAAATATTTACATTTCAGAGTCTTAAACCAACAAGTTTTGGCATTTTTGCTTAAGAAATTACTAAAATAATTATTGAATTATAAAAATGATTTCAGATGAATTTTCTGTAATTGATTCACTCTATTGAAAAACCTTCCTTCTAGGTAGAAACTGTAGTTTGGTGGATGATACTTTAGTCTTTAAGGTATTTAGTCCCACAACATATACAGTATGTGAATCTAAACTGGCCTCAATGTCGATAAACCGCCTTGATTCCTAGAAATATCACTGACAACAGGGCCCCTGTGTCCTCAGTGGTTGTATGGTCACAAGAGCCTTATTTCTCTGCTTGGTGACTTAATCACACCTTTTCTCTTTGCATTTATTGTAAAGACCTCATTGGCACTGATCCACTTATATTCTATTAACTCTATCGTCACACTGCAAGGCACAGCTAAATAGGGTCAGGAAAATACAGCCTTTGTTTCACTAATAGACTGGTTGATTATAAACGGACTTTGACCGTGCACGGCCTGGGAAAACAAGGACACAGGTGTGGTCTGCTGCACATGTAAACCCTCAGTTTATGTGTATATATAGTAGTTGTGAGACTGTTTTAAACACAGATGCACAACACAACCTCAACAACACTGTACTCACCTTCATAAATATATTTGTAGCACCAATAATTGTAATTTTTCTTTACTTTAGTTTCTGACCCCATGTTTGTGTTCCTTTCAACTTAATAGCACAAAAAAGAGAATATAACAGCTTAATACAAGTGAATTGTCCCAGATCATTTATTTAAGTCTAGCACTTACTCAAACCAGACAAATAATGTCAAGAAATAACACGAGACACAGTCAAAACAAAGTCATGTTGCTCTCTTATCATGAGAAATGTGATGTCAGGTGACATGGTCCAGCTGGTTAAATATTCACTCTAGCACTGGTAGATTTGCCGCAAAGAAAATCAATGGCTGTTTCTTCTGGGTGGAGGCCATAGATATGAACTGATTGCAGATCACTCCCCAAACAAGTAATTCCATCAACAGTGCTTTTAGGTTTGAGATTAAAGAGTTGAATGATAGTTCTGTTCCTGTTGGATAGTGTTTAACATTTCCTGGTAGACTGACAGCTCTCTGACTAATCTTGTCATGGGTGTGGAAATGAGTCTCACACTTGTACTACTTCTCTTTTATAGCCTGGTCTTTTCTTTTTTTTCTTTTCTGTTTGTTTTACACAATCCTCATTCATGAGAAAACTGCCATGTCTGAGTTCTCATGACTGGATGTATTTCGAGGTCACTCCTGACTTCTGTTTCTGCTGAGGTAGCTTGATAGAACAGTTGGATAGTCACTCATCACCCCTGTGGCTCCTACTTCAAATGCAGCCTTTATGTCGTCATCTTCATTGCATACAAACAAATGCACCTGAAATTACAGATATATCAATCAACCCTAGTGATCGGTTTGGGATCCTGGAGAGCACAGGCCCTCTTTAACAACTCAATAACATACTTAGCTGTTGTTTCATCACCTTGATACCTTTTCCTTATACACGTGATTCTGAACTGATGACATGTTTCAGACCCCAGCTGTAAAACATGGTTAAATGCAATTGCATCTATGATTGGTGTTGACTGTACTTTTTATGCATCACTACCCCTCCCAAATCCTGAATAAATCTATGTGGATGTCTGTCATTGGAGTAACAGTTTGTTCATAAAAGGTCTAACTACATAACACATGAAATTTATATCTTTTTCATTTCTGTATTTTGTCACCAGAGGTTTCATCAGATATGTGAGCCTACGGTACTTTTCTACATATTGGGTTTGAATGAGGTCAGACGGAAAGAGACAGGGGGAAAAATGACTGATTTTATTATGATTACTTTGGTCTGTGGGACTGCAAATAACAAGGAAATAAAGCTGACCACAAAAAAACCCCAAGGATTATGTTTGAACATTAACAGTAAAATCACATAGTGTCCTTTTTCCCTGTCACCCTTGCTGCAATTCTGAGCTACAGCTACAGCTTAATGGTACTGAAAACTAAAGTGGGAGAGGAGCAGTTGTCTCAGATGTAACAGAGCAGACATCAACTTAAAGTAAGACACTGGGGCATCAAGGAGCAGTTGTTCAGCTACACTGTAGTAAAATAATTGATAGAGCACAATGTCATGATATTGATATGTAATAATATGTTATCAGTCCCATGGCAGCAGCATTGAGATACTCCTCAGTGTTATTGTACATTATTGAAATATACAGTACACTGAACTCATACTAACATGTACAGTGGACTTTGTCAGGCTAATGTTTCCGTCATTGGTTACACAGATGTCATGATGTATTACAGATGATGTTCTTGCAATATATCACATACTGCTAGTCATGGGAAACAGTAGCCCCCTTTTTTTATTTGTTTCTCCCACTTCTACAACTGACACTTCACTACTTTCTCCTGGTGTGTGGTGGGAAAAAAAATCATCCCTCTGTTGTTATATGGATGATGGTGCGAAGAGCTTTTCTTCCCTGCTTCAGAATTCCTCACAAGTGCGGCGAGGCCCTCAGCAGCTGACAGAGCTACAGCATATGACTTGTTGTTTTCATGCTCAAACTATTCAGTGACCACTCGTGGCCTGACGATGGGGGTGATCTCATCCCAGTGGAGATTACTCACATCAGGACAGAGGTGATGCATCGGAGACACTCACAGCGGCTGTGTGAGCTGAACTGTTAATCTTAGCTGAAATAATGAGGTGTTTTCTGCATTAAAACACTATGTTCTTTGGTTAAATGAAGTTCTACAGTTAAACATGCAGATATTTTGGTTTTAAAGTCTTGTTCGTGTATCCTGGGAAAAAGAATCATTTGAGATGTTGGGGCCAAAATATGTTCTTTTCTAGATACATTATGATAGATAGATAGATAGATAGATAGATAGATAGATAGATAGATAGATAGATAGATAGATATAGATGCTGGTGGTTTCATACCTGAATTCCACGGGCTGCAAGGTGTTTAAAAAGACTCTTCCTCATAGTTACTCTGGAATGACAGCATATAAAAATCTATGAAAATTCAGTCTATACACAAACTGCAGTAAAACATAATTCAGAGTTTGATCTTCCAGTTATATAAACTGCTTGATTTTACCCATAACATGTTATAATTCTGCATACAAAGTCAGTCAGCCATACTTTTTTATGGAAATGTTCGTTAATGTCTCTCTCATTATCACTTTAACTTTCAAAAGCCACTCTAACTATAACCATAGCTTCACTCACTTTTCTAACAAACAGACGAGGAGCTTGTTCCTCAGGATGCGCTTCTCAGGAATGAACGTCCTTCATCAGCACACAGACAGAGAGAGAAACAATAAACGTTGATACCAAAGGTTAGAGAGGAAAAATCTGAGTGGATTAAACCAGATGAATGTACAGAATGGCAAAACAGCCACAGTAACTAAAATATCATAGTGTGATATGTTAAAACTCAGATTAAGATGTGGGATGCTGCTATAAAACATAGACAACTGTGGTTTAGTCCAATCATGAAGGTCAACCGTTTCCCTCCTCTTTATGAACAGATTTGCAAATTTCAACAAGGACCTCATTGCGTAATGACACACGTCCATGACCACATGCATTGACTCAACGTGCAACGATGCAGCGTGCCGCCACACCTGTTGATGATGCGTGGAAAGTAGAACTGCAGTAAACTCTCTCCCAGCGGCACAAAGGGCAGCAGGCCGCTGTAGAAGAGAAGCAGAAGCAGGACACCTCGGTTCACACTGAAACTGTACGGCATGGAGCCGTTCTACGAAGAAGCAGAGACACAGAGAGAGAGGTGGGTGGGGGGGTGGGTGGGTGCCAACACTGACACAGAGACAGCTTTTATGAACGTGAGGAGCGTTGCTGAAACAGTGTTGGAAAATAGTAAAGACAGCTGATGGTGCACTAAGAGAAGCTTGTAACGCCATCACATTTTTACATTAGGTGTGAAATGGTAGCATAACACTGTACAAGTAACTTTGTCTCCCCCAAGTGGGTTATGTACCATTCTGTGGCATTCCTTCATGATCCTGGAGTTCACAGAGGCCCAGACGGTGATCTCCTCCCTGTTGTAGCATCTCACCAGGTCAGACACCTACAGACAGATAAGGGGGGGAAATCAAGGGCAGTCAATTATCACCTTTAATTGTGGAAGTCTAAAAGCAACATGACGTCCAAAAGGGCTTCAAACAGGAAGAGAACGGACAAATGGTGGCTGCAATTTAAAGCTCATAATCTGGGATAATCCTGACATTTCACCAGATCGGTGCGAAGCACCACAAAACTCCGAACCACAAACCTTGGTGACACACTTTAAATGAATATAACACATCTTCAGCCTTGCAAAGCTTGAATTGTCCATGGGGCCTGACTGACATTTACAGGCGGCTCATATCCATCCCTCATTTGTAAAACCTGCACAAAACCTAAAGCCTTGAAACTGATATGGTCTGATTAGTTGCCTAACACTCCCTAAACCATGTTGCTATTGTTATGAGTATATTGCTCACCAAGTGTTTATCTATTACATGGGTGATTTTCTTACTTTACAAAATGCACTTTAAAATCATATATTGCATCACAGTTGAAATGAAAGTGGAGGTTTCTGCAGCGTGATCCAGGAGTGAGGAAGGGCAGAGTTTTTTTTCATATCCTTTGGGGAAGAGACTGCGCTGTGGTTATTCTATTTATTTATTTATCTATTTTTAGGTGTTCTGTACCTTTTCTATCAGCTTGTGGTTGTACTCCTTGATCTCGAGGCTGACTGGGATCTCAGGGAACTTCCTGAACACGTCCTCCAGCAGAGCAAGCTTCCTGTCTGCACCGCTGCTATAGTGACCTGGAGGATGGGAGGGGTGAAAAGGAAGGTTGCACCACAAACACAGACACACACACACACACCGTTTGACCTAGTTCTTCAATCAGCAGCTTTTTGTTAAAGAATAAGAGGAAAAACTCACCTGCATAAAATGTCACCTCCAGTCTCTCCTTATACAAAGGCAAATCCTGAAAGAGTGGAAAAACAGACCTGAAAAACTAGATTATTGTGGTGTTGATTATGATGACCATGAAATATATATCTTGTTATGATCGTCTGCTGCAGCTGCATTGCTGCATGCAAAATAGCTAGATGCAAACTCAAGTATTTATTTGAAGGTAATACAATTCTTAAGTAAATACTCACTTAGAAAACAGCAATATATCTGAGGAAAAATTCAGTGAATATAAAAAAATATTTAAACGTATCTTAGCACACACTGATGTAAATCACAGTTCCAGTTAAAAGGAAACCTTAAAAATCCTGCTGCGTGATATGTGGCTCCATGGCGTCTCAGGTAAGTTTAAAGTGAATACTTGGGTTTGCACACAGCTGTTTCAAATGTTGCAATTATACTGAATCACATGTTCCACCTGAAATGTAGCTGAATATGTAACATGTAAATGTAACTGCTGTGTGTGAGCACATGATGAGAAACTCATCCTGTTTTGTGTGACAAGCCTCTTCCGTGCCAGTGTCATGGGCTAAAAAAAGTAACCCAGAAAACACTGTTTGGCCCGCGGAAGCCGGAGCTGCTGTCTCAGCGTGACCTTTGACCTAACCCACAGTCCTGTGAGGTCTGTCCTCCCACCTGTAGATCGAGCGAGGAGATGGTGACGTCGTGTCCGGTCTGCCTCAGCAGATTCTCATCATGTGACACCACCACATGTCCGTCATGTGTCAAGCGACAGTCCAGCTCCAGCATCTGTGTGCCGTGCTGCACAGCACTGCAGACAGACGCACAGATGGAGAAACCATAAGAAATGAGAATATACACATTTGTTACCTGCAAACTGAGAGAGCGTCTGCAGCACGCCACTCTTACATGAGAAAACAATCTCTTCAAATGCGGTACCACAAACAACAAAGGACAGCACACAGTGTTGTTACGATTCCTTCATGAAGCACAAATGTATTTTGTACAGTGCGTCATTAAATGATTTTCAGCCCTGACACCCAGCGACACTGATATCTTTAATACTAGGATTTTTATTTTGGCAGTTTTAACTTGTCTCATGACACAGGTGACAAGGCGACATAGTTCTGATTTCTAGAAGAGGCCGAAAACCTCTCATACAGTCAATTAGACAGCACCCAAGGGTGTGCAAGTGGAGAGATGATGAATGCATAAACACAGGAAATTTCTTATCACATATAAGACAATTTACCAGGCTGGATAATCTACTTGATGTTAAGCTCATCAGAAAGAAAAGATAAAATCAGGGGAAACTTGACTGAGTTACAGGGGAAAGTCTGTCTTCCTCTAACAATTGAGCACAGTCGCCTTTCACAGCTGTTCTGCCTCTGCAGCTCACCTCTTGAGTTCGGTACTCACTGTGTGAATGCCTCCATGGTGCTTTCTATCCTCTCCCCACATCCTGAAAACAAACAGAGTCAGGGTTGATGATGGCAGCAGAGGGACCCCAGAAATACAGAAAACATGCACACTTGGCTACATTTGGAAAAACTTAAGAATTTTTTTTCAAATTGTCATATTATTAAAAATTTTCAATATACTTCCAGATATATGGAAGCAGAACAAGACTGAGCCACTGAAACAGTGCTACTCCTCACTACAACACATTAAGTTGTCATTGGTTATCAGATATTCGTATTATCTTTTGTATTATTTGTTGACTTTTTACATCTTGACTTGAGCTTTTTGCTGCAGGTTAAAAACAAAAATTGCAGAAAAAACAAAATAAAATGAGATTGTCTTAAAAGTTAGTGAAGAATATTTGTGCAACTATCAGATGTCTTGAGTCATTAACCCACAAAGCAACACTGTGAAACCTGTGAAAACGAATGAGCCTTTAAGATGTGGAAAGTTGAAGCACAAATCCTTTGATAGTGAAGCATCTGTCTCCTTGGCTACTTACCAGCCAGTCAGTAATCCTTCATGACACCCTGAATATTGATGGACACACAGCTGTGCTGACAGTTGCACTGCACAAGTCACAATCAGGTTTTGAATCAGCCTGATTCAAAACCTGATTATGGATACCTCCACCCGGCAGACTGCCCCCACCTCCACACCCTTACCTCCTCTATGCGAGATGTGTGTGCAGTAAAAGGCTGTGCGTTTCCTCCTATGGAGAATGTGTGGGTTCTTCAGCAGGTACAACGAGGTGAGCGTGTATCCTCCCAACGCCGGGAGGATGAAATACAAAAAATTGCTCATCTTTCCCAACAAACACGTCCAGTGACCCCCTGATAGACTTTTATGTTATATAAAAAACTGTGATCAATCTAAACTGGCAGATAAGTGTCTCCTAGTGTCCAAGCCCTCAGTGGTGATAGCCAACACCTCTCTTTGGTCTTCCACTGACGAACAGGTCTAAAAGCTTGACGGAAGACAACTTCTGCTCACTGTCTTCTTTGGAAGTTAAGAAAAAAACTTGACAGACTGGTAAGACCGAAGACATGAATCCCACGAATGTTTCATAACCCAAGAAAAGGGTAAGTCTTGCTCTTACTCACGCTTTGCAAAGACACCTGAAACCTCCAGAGCTGTAAAAAATAGTTAATGAAGCACAGACTCACAGCCCAGAGTTCACCTCACTGCCCTCTCTCTCACTGGCCTCTCCCTTGCCTGTGGCAGTACTATTTCACCCTGTTTACACTGCTTTTGTTCTGCAGAAACAAGTGGCTTTGTGTGTGTGTGTGTGTGTGTCATACCTGGACACCACGTTTACCAACATTTTTCTAGGATTTCTTTTATTCTGCGTCATTGTTGGGGGCATTGCATTAATGAAACAGAACACATCGAACAGTAATTAGCCTCAAAATAATCTCACAGGTGGTGAGAATGAGGAAAAATCTATTGTTCTTTCCAGATTTAAGCTTGAAGAAAAAAAATCATCGACGAAAAGTAAATGAAAGGCATCCTCGGAAGTGCAGCAGGTTTTCTTAGCCTGCGTCTGTTTGACAAAGAGGATGTGGCAGCGTGTGGAGATATGTAAACTGAACTCTGACCCACAAGGCCAGAAATATGAAAACAGCTACATGTCTGGAGGCATGTGTGCTCGCTATACCTACAGTACAAAGTCAGCAGAGTGTAGTACTGTATTGTTTAGCTTCAATAACAAAGCTGGCATGTGACAACAATGGTGCAACAGGCTGAGGTCGCTCTTAGATGTTACAACAAACCTGGTTTTCACCAGAAGGCAGAAATCTATTCACTGCAGTGCAATGTGGCTTTCTAGCATGTTCTCACACTCCCAGGTTTGTCCTGTTGACTTATAAAGGATGTTTATATGCTGGTCGTTTTGAAAAACAGATCAAGTTCAATGTTTGTCTATTTTTCTGTTTTCACATAAATTTCAAACTTAAAATCCGACACCTCTGCTGCTGCTCATTCCAGCCACAACCAAAGACTCTGGGAATGTCGGGGATGGAGAGAGAAGCCATGCTGAGACATGTAACGTCGAAAGATGGAAAAACTGCACAGCAGGAAAAGGAAGTTAAGTTTTGTGTTGAGATGCCCCACAGTTATATGTGCGTTCCCACGAACTCTCAGGCTTTAACTTTATTTCTTCTGAGGCCAGTTTCACAAAGATTCTTCACACTGGTCCGTAGTGTTAGTCCAATGCAAGTTCGACAATTTCACAAAAATGAGGCCTGACTTGTTTGAAGGCTAAGCCATGTTTCCATGGTAACAACCAATGACACCTGCCAACAGTTCCGCAAAATGACGAGATGAGTGATGAGAAATCAGAGATTTATCAAGGAGAACAGCAGCCTGTTGGAAATGTCCGGCTGTGGGGACAGATTCACAGAAGGGAAGCACATTTGGGAAATGAGTAAAAGTGACTCACATTTAAAGCCTTGGTTCTCACATTATAAATACTAACATTATTTATTCAGTGGGATAGATGAATGACAAGTAAACAACTTTAAATAATCTAATATTAAATAATATCAATAAGTAGCTGCTATTTATAACTCCAAATACTCTATAGCCCTTGAAAAGACCCCCCCACCTCTCCTATATAGGAGCAAGACACCCAGACTGAAAGAGATGCAAAGTGACCACACACCACACCTCTTTGTGGTTGTTTTACATCTCATGGCCATTTTGTCAAGCTTTATAGTTGTGTGGCTTCATTTTCTGTTTCTTCTGAGCCGTGGGTTCTCGTACTAAACTAAGCTAAGCAGTTTGATGCTGTTGTCAGGTCAGCCATGTTTCTTTGTTGATAAAGATTAACAGAATTCACAGCAAATTATTACCTTAGATAGTCAAGAAACTTTGTCCAGGTGAACGGGTGAGTTCAAAAGTGCTGAAAGGACCATAAAAGAAAGAACTAAATACTACAAGAGGAAAAGAAACAAACATCCACAGACAGTTGTAACAGTATCAGGAAATTTTATTTAATTATAGGTATATAATTCTGTTTCTTTATTAATCGTTTAATTCATAATACCCATAGAATATACAGACTATAACCCTCAATAACTCATATCTCTTTGACAGTCTACTTATATCTTCTTTTAAAATAATTCCTTCTAAGATCTTGGAGGGGAAATTAAAAAAAAAAACAAAAAAACAAACAAAAAAAAAACAAGAAAAACAAACAAAAAAAACCCTAACTTTTAGAAAGATTGAAAACACTGCCAATAATAATCACGCCCATAAGAGAAATAAGGAAGAAAAAATACAAATAAAAACATCCTAATAATAAAAAAAATGATACAACTTTAACTCCCTTTTATGTAAAAAAAAAAAAAAAAAAAAAAAAAAAAAAAAAAAAGAAAGAAAGAAAGAAGAGAAAAAGAAAAATACAACAACTCACCAATATAACAACAATAGCAATAATAAGAACAGCCATTTAAAAACAACAATATCTGGAAAGAGGCCTCAGACTGACAGGCCTTTAGACTTGTCGATACTGTGTGTGAATGTATGTGGTGTGTTTAAGTGCAACGCTTCACAAACACACAGATACACTCCTCTGCGAGAGAGAAGTGTGTGTGTGTGTGTGTGTGTGTGAGTGTGTGTGAGTGTGTGTGTGTGTGTGTGTGTGTGAGTGTGTCAGGAGGATTGCAAAAAAAGGGGTCCTCTTGGTTCATTCCCATGGTTAGTTACCCAGTGAGATGTTTGGTTTGGTGGCAGGTCGGAGGGAAAAAAAAAATATTTGTGTGACTGTTTTCTTTGTTGGTCAAAAAGAAGAGAAAGAAAAACAGTCACACAGATGTAAAAGCACAGGTAACTGCAGGGAGAGGGCCCAAGCTGTGAGGAAACAATACACACTTCCAACACACACACACGCACACACACAGAGGACAAAGAGTCTTGGCTTTATGTTACTCATGAGCAGATACAGAAACACTTTTACACAGACATAAATTACTGCAGACAATGAGCCTTAAACACACGCAGCAGGTGAAACTTAAAGCTGGACGAGCAGGATACGAGACAGAGAGGGAAAGACCCACCAAAATAACAACCTCGAAGGGGATAGAGCGTGGCTGGAAAGACAAAGTGCCGGCGTGCTGATTGAGTTGTGTGATTGGAGCGAGTTTTCCTGCTTGTATGACCGTCCATGATCTAGGAATCAGCTGAGACAACGGGCAGGGGGGCATGATTTTCTGAGGAGGGAGGAGGAAAGCGACAGCAAAGTCAGAGATATGGGTTAAAAGGTCTTCATCAGTCCCACAGCAGATAAGCAGAAAAAGGTGAGAAAAAATAAAGGGGGGGGGGGGCAGCCCTTTTGAGTAAAGCGTGGTGAGAGTTGGGAGGGTGAACAAAACGAGCGTCACCACATGCACCAAAAAGCCTCACACTGACCCCACAGTGCTGGCTATGGCTTGAAAGAGAACAGCCTACCATGTCAAACAAACCGATGATTTTGCATGTGTTGGTCCATTTTGGGAGGGAGGGAGGGGAGCGGGCTTCTCTTACTGGTCCCAGTGCAAGAGGCAAAAATTAGTGCAGACTGAGCTGGTGACTGAGCTGGACCCACAGGTTGGTGGGTGGTCACAGAGGAGAGGAGGGAGCAGACACTGACAACTGATGCGAACAGTGAACACACAGAAGTAGTAGCCTATAACGTGCACACACTCAAAGACACACGAGTAGCCATCTCTGAGGAACAGCACTATAATCACCCACATTAAAGAAATACACATCCAGTATGTTAACAGGCGGCTGGGAAAACACACACACAAAACACACAGGCAAAGGGAGGAGGGAACAGGAGCGCAAAAAAGAAAACTGGGCAGAGAGGGGCAAACTGGGATATATGCTGTACAACCATGAAGTGCTGATGGTTGCTTGGCCGCGCACTGAGCAGGAATAACAGTACAGCACTCCTCTGGGACATTCTTGACCGTTTTAGCTGGTTTTTTTGCAGTAGTCCTAAAGGAGGCGCTGTTCTCGTAAACGTTCGCAACAAAACCGGAGAACGCCAAGCCGCAGTGACAGACTTCTCAAACTCAGGCCAGTTACATTCAACACATACATAAATCGACAGGCCTTTTCCCACAGCAGACGTTTCGGCGTGTTGCAGCAGGAGAAGCACAGGTGTTACTCACAACATCAGTAATTAGGACATTCCATTCAGATGAGCGAGTGTCAGGGTCCTGTTACTGTGAGTGTGCTGATCACTGGCATGATTTACTGGGAAACTGCGTTTCACCTCTGCTTTCCCTGCTACGACAAGTCCAAGCGTCCACCGTGACAAAGGTATGTAGGCCGAGATAACCATAATCTAAAAATGCTTGCAGAAAATTGCGTCCGTTTGAATGTATGAATATTAAGTTATTCAGATTTGGGCCTTCACTATCACCTTAGGTCTCAGCCTGCCAACACTTCTGACTCCATGTGGTTGTCCTGGATCAAACAGCAGCAGACAGGAACACAGTCCAAAAACAGCACTGAGCGATGGAAAGGCTGATGTCAACTACACCCCCCATTTTCCAGAACAAGGTGTTCCCTAAAAATGGTTTCAGTGAAAATTAGGGTTCAGAGGAGCCGAGGAAGAGACAGGGCTTCAGTGGTGTTATGAGACAAATAGTTCACCAGTCAGCTGCTATGCATTTGTTACAGGAATGTAATTTAACATATGAATGTAATGCTGACGGTGGATAAGTTATTTGATGTTGGTTGTCTTTAATGGAAAAGTGACTTTACAGGGCCAAATGTGGACGATATAATAATGTTATACCAGTGTCTTACATCAATGTTCTGGTGGCATTTCTTTCACTACAGAACTTCTGTTAACTCAGGTGGATACCGAGCATCACATGTTTGGTGTTTCAATCCTCTGATTCTTACAGCGCGGTGCTAATTTGTGAGCTGTTGGAGAGGACTGCAGTAAGAACACATGAATGTTCTGGAAAATGGGGCTTAGGCATCACAGGTGAAAGAAATCTGACTGAACAGGCAATCATGGAATCTATTTTATGCTCTCTGCTTCGGTGTGATTTGCTCTGAACATGCAGCGCCTCCTGAATATAACGGTTTTGTTCAGTTCAGTTTGTCTGCCCCTGATACGAGTTGCAGATCAATGTAGTTAAGGTAAAAACTGATATTCCTTAGTTGCTCCCCAGCCAAGGTCCTTGCATCTCTCTGCCACTTTGGTAAATTTCAGGAATGCATGCATTCATATGAACATCATACGCGGTTGTTTTTTTGTTTTTGTTTTTTGTAAGAAAAAAAAAAAAAAAAAGCGACAACAAAGAAATCTATAAACCTGCCAACATGCCAGTAAAAACACTGAATGTTTGTCTCAAAATCAAGAGTTCAAAAATGACTTGCAAATATAAACCCCAAAACATACAAATACGACTCTGAACTGATTCGAAAACACTCAAACAACAGTATACAAACGAAAACTGCAACAAGCACACTTAAAAAGAAAAAAAAAGAAAAAAGAAAAAAAAGCTTTTATATTTTTGTATATACATACACACACCCGATTAACATCCCCGTTCTTTTAGCCCTCAATTTTTCCAGGTTGTAATTTACATGGAGCAAGACAAGAGAGTTATGGTGTTGGTTAATACAGTAGTATGTGTTTATATGAGAAGGAGCGACAGACAGATCAGCGACAGGAGCAGGAGAGATGAACAAAGGAGTGTGATGAGGAGAGGAGAGGAGAGGAGAGGAGAGGAGAGGAGAGGAGAGGAGCAGTGAGTTACGGCAGATGGGACAGTGGGAGTCGGGACATTTGACTGGAGGCAAACGTGAGGCGAGAGGAGGGAGAGTCCAACATGGACAAAACTGAAACAGTATGAGTACGACAGACCCTACCACCCCACCCAACCACAGAAATCAAAGTTAAACTTAGCTCTCTCTTGCAGTAGAAATGGAAAGATAAGCAGTTAAATGTTCATATTTCTTGTTTTCTCTTTTTGTTGGTTTCTTGAAGATTCCTTTTTCTTTTTGTTTTAGCATGTCATTTGGAGTCTTCTTGTTCCGAGCCTCTGCATGGCTTTGTCACTCTTTAGGGCTGGAAAACAGATCCAGACTTTTAATTAATGACATTAAACATTAAATATTAAGTCACATTCTCGTGACCATAACATCCTCAAGACACAATTCTTATCAAATAAAGGATTTTGACCCATCCCTATTATTTATGGTAAGATTTGACCACTAAGATGCAGCGGAGATGAAAACTAAGGTGAGCTGATTACATATTGCTGCATGGAAAACTGAAAAAAAAAAGAAAAGAAAAAAAAAGGTTTTAAAATGCAGTCAAAGTTTACTCTGTAAAATTTGACAGACATGAACAATTCACTGTTCAGGTAATAACTTTCACTTTCAGAAGTTTCACATTTTAACCTGCCACAGTTGTTTTCACTCTCAAACAAATGGTTTAGATAATATGCAAGACTGACGTCACCACCTCCCCACAGTGACAGGAACCACAACTAAGGTCTAAAGTAAGGAAATAAGAGCCCAGGTTGTAGAAAAACAAAGACCAGAGGAAGTTTGTGTTGATCCTGTAATTATTACTTTAGTATTTGGAACAAAATGTCTTGTAGCCTGAATCTAATCTGTCCATTCAGTTAACATGGAAAATTACATTTACAGGCTTTTGACGTCATGTTTATTAATTTACATAAGCCATAATCACATCACATGAAGCTAGACAAGCACATATTTTCTATTTATATATTACTGTCCTGTTGTATCTGTGTGACAGCAAACAGGTTCACTGGCTTTAAAACTTGCTGCTGAGGTTTGGGTGTATTTACATGCACGCACGAATCGCGGGAGCTCCACTGACATCTAGTGGTCTCAAATCAAATTATTCAACTCAGCGCTCTCACAGTTTAAAGAGAACAAATCAGACAAAGCATACATCTTTTTGACACATGCAGATAGCTGATTGAAGCTGTTTTCTTTTGCTTAACTTGCTCTCCCTTTTACCAGTGCAGGTACTGGACTGTGGCTCTGCTGGTGCAGGCTGCTGTGGGGGTGTGTGTTTGGGTTTCATTTTTATGTACCTGTGTGTCTCAGGAGCCCTGGTAGGTTTCCTGGAAACGAGCCGTTTCCTCAAAGATCAGTTCCTTCAGCTTCTCCTTGGGAAGGTCGTCCAGCTCCATGGAGAAGGTGAAGGGCTCCTCTGCTACTGGCTACACACACACACACACACACACACACATTTAACAACCCTTCAGTGCTAAAATTGAGGAGTGTGGTGTGAAAACTGTTTACTTCCATTTCACAGTTGCAACATTGTGCACACAGTTATTAAATTTACCAGAACAACAGCAGCAATGATCTGGAAACAATGTTTAAACTAGGGCTGAACAATTGATCAAATTATTATCAAAATTGCAATATCCAAATCACAGGAGCTGCAATATTTCTATAAAAGGTAAAATGTATCACAACATACTGTAGCATCAATCAAGCATTGTGGTGCTACAGAGATGCCCCCAAAACATATTGTCCAGAGGTAAGGGAACATGCTTGTTTGGTACAAAACATCATCATCATTTCTATTTTTTTCAGTGAAAATGAAATGCAAAAATTACCATTCCAACTGAAATCGTGACTCATATCGTAATATTTGCCAAAATAATTTAGTTATAATTTTTTTTGCATATTGTTCAGCCTTAGCCTAAAGTTAGGCTTTAAAGCTTAGTACTGCTGTTAAATGGGAAAACCTAAAAAAGAAAACAAAGAACAAGAAGTACAATTCAAAATACTGGAAAAACAAAGGAAGAAATCCACCCTTTAGCTTTCTACATAATCACGCAATCACATCTTCATCCTTACACAAATTAAGATGTGATGAGTGATTACATTCTTTACCCAGTCTCAGGCTGAACCATGGAGCAAACTTCATACTAATTGCATTCCAAACACAGCTAAGAGGCTTCCCAGCACAAAGCAGAAAGGCTTACAATTAAAGCTTGGCTCGTGGTTGACGAACATGTTTGAATTAATAACCCCTTCTGCCACCGACATTTGTGCAAATCTCAACACTTGGCTCAATAGTAAGTGTTGTTGTTCCTCAATTCGGGCAAATTCAGTGCAGCACAGTTTTAATACTGATCGAGCGAGCATTCAAAAAGACACTGCTGCTCTTACAACTTCGTTCTCTATGCGTACCTCATCTGTGGGATCGTAGTACTGCTCCAGGTAGGGATGAGCCAGGGCCTCCTCAACGCTGATACGCTTGATGGGGTTAAAGGTCAACATGCGGCCCAGCAGGTCCAGAGCTGCGATAGATTCATCAAGAACTTTAAATTAGTTCAGTCACCTGGTTGTGCAGCAATATAAAATACAGCTTTGTCAAAAATATTTACTGGACTGAAACTTCAATTTAGGGATTTTAAACAATAATTAAAATAGTTTAATTTAATATACTCACATTTTTTTTACATTTCTTTTATGCTCTCTATCAAGACATTATATACATATTTTATAATAGTAATTTAAGTTAAATTTGAGGAACACTGAATATGATTTTACTATCCCACTAATCTAAATAACTTTAATATTAATACCATGATAAATTTGCCAAAATACCACTTCACTAGATAATCTTGATGAATTTCTAATGTAGCTTCTCAATTATTATAATAATTATACATTAAAGGCTGTTGTAAAAAATATCCATTCAGGCTATAAATAATAATAATAATAATGATAATATAAATGAATGTGACTTTAAAACGTCTGTTATTGTCACTGATCCAATTACAGCAGTTACAACAGAATCATTTCACCTGTAAAGTCATTTTCACAGCCAACAGTTAGTTTGACCACACAGCGACATCTGTGTCATGTTCAATACAGAACTCAGAGCCCTACAAAGCATCTTCAGCCTCCAGCTCCTTCTTCAGATTAGTCTAGGTTTTGTTATTTTAAATAAATGTCTTATTTTCTCACGTTCCATAGCTACAAATGAGCAGCATCACTCTACCTTTAGAGTCCGCCTTGTAGAAGAGCTTCTCCCAGGGGATCTTGGGTTTTTCAGGCAGGGACTGCAGGTAATTCCTCGCCTTCATGTTGATGATGCAGTTCAGATCTTCTTGAGATGGAGAGCCAAGGACGCCTGCACATAGAGGAGAGTAAGGGACATTTTTCAATATGGCTGTGGAGTTATAGTGCATGGTGTTAATATCTTGCAGAAATGACTGAGAACAGTGTCTCACCCAGTATGTGGTTGAGCTGGTCCAAGTAGTGTTTCCCAGGGAAGATAGGCTTGTTGGACAACATCTCAGCCAAGATGCAGCCCACTGACCAGATGTCGATGGACTTAGAGTAGCCCTGAGACAGACACAGACACACACACAAAGACACACACAGACACACACAGACACACACAGACACACACAGACACAGTCAACTAACTGAGAAACTATCTAGTCAAATACAAAATCCACATCAGTCAGTCGCACACCTACCTTTGAGTTGAGCATGATTTCTGGAGCCCTGTACCAACGCGTAGCCACGTACTCAGTCAAGAAACCTGTGTGGTCGTGCTCGGGGTCGGCTATCCGTGCCAGGCCAAAGTCGCAGATCTGAGGACAGCAAAGAGGGTCAAAGGTCAACATCAGTCTGCAAGCTGGTCACACTTATCATAGTTATCACTGGTCAGATTTACAAGTCACTCATGGACCTTTCGAAAATGAACAGCTGACAAGAATTGGTTGGTCAGGTAAGAGAGCTGGTGAGTTTGTAAATGTTTTACACAGTTCCAGCAGTTCCTGTTTTTATGCTTGTCTCATAAACTTTATTTCTCCTGAAATCTTTTTACTCTTGAGGCCTCCTTTTGAAGGCTTCTGAATTATGTTTTTGTTTCATCAAATGACTAAACTGCAGGAAATCTGGAGCCCGGCAGTAATCCAGCAGAGTATTACAGTACACGGTGTATAAGTGGGGAGAAATGGGGGGCTTAATGGTGGTTTTAGTATTACACTACACATACTAAAGTAACAATAGTGGCACAAAGCCACAGATGTAATGATGTAATGTGTAGCTGCAGTTAGAAGGGTTTATTTTGATTTTTTTGTCCTGGAGTGGAATGGATCAGAAAGCTGCAACAATATGTGCTGCCTTTGTTCTTCACTCCTCCCACATGATCAACTAATCCAGGGATTGATGGTTGGCTGCCGAGAGTTCACAAGTGTACTCTGAGGCTGAACAACACGCCAAAGAGCAAAGAGAACCCTGATGGCTCATTTCAGCCAAAAAAAAAAAACCCAAAAAAACAACAACAAAAATAAATAAATAAATGAATAAAATAAAAACCCACTGATGATGATGGCCTCAGTTATGTTTCCTAGTAGCTTGTGATGATGGTATATCAAAAGTGACCAGCCCTGGCACCAAGGCTATATTGTGTTATTGAAACTGCCTAAAGTCCTATCCTAAATCCTAAAGTACTGACACCTAACTGGACAGTAAAAGTTATTCATTTACATTGTTTAGATCTTCATTGATAATCTCTGCTGCAGACACTCCAGCAGTATTACACTTTAGGCCACTTCATGTTCAGCCACTTACATGCTAAAAAAAGAAACAGATGCCTGAGAACATTGTGGAATCATTTCAGCAAAATGCCTTCAGGGCTTTTCTTTTTTTCTTTTTCTTTTAATACAACATACCAATTTAGTGTTTGTATTTTCAAGCGTTACACTTAAAAAAGCCTAAACTAGACCTAGATGGAAAAAAAAAAGCTAAGTCCATTCAGACAAGGTAAGAAGAGACAACAGGATGTCAGAGGAGGGGATTAAGGCTCACCTGTGTTGTCATGTAACTTTAACTTTAAAACAGAACATTTTAAGTCTGAAAGTCTGCATCATTTAAATAGTGACAACTCTGGTTTCTTGGCAGGGTCAGGAAGGGCTTGCGTCAATCCATCACCCGTATCCAACATTCCTGGGATTCTTTCTTGCTACTGGTGCCAATGCTTAAATAAACATAATGGCTAAAAAACACATTATGGTTCTTAGTGAACAGAACTGAAGCATTTGACTTTAAAGCACCATGTGAGATAAAGAAAATATCCCCTTTTGCCTCCCAAAAATGAAGTTAAGCGTACCCAATACCAAATAGTAACTTCGACACGGGGATATGTTTAATATCTATACCAAATTTACAACATATAAATGTAACATATGCTAAATGCAAAGTTATTAAATGTAGATTTCTTGTATGTGCATGTGTAAAATCTACCAGAAATGATGTGTGTGTGTGTGTGTGTGTGTGTGTGTGTGTGTGTGTGTGTGTGTGTGTGTGTGTGTGTGTGTGTGTGGTGACCTTGAGGTCGCAGGTGGTGTTGATGAGCAGGTTGGAGGGTTTGAGGTCACGGTGCAAGACATTGGCTGAGTGAATGTACTTGAGGCCTCGCAGGATCTGGTAGAGGAAGTAGCAGACATGGTCGTTGCTCAGTCTCTGGCTCTTCAGCAGCTTGTACAGGTCCGTCTCCATCAGAGTCTGCACGATGTAGCTGGAAGGACGCACGGGTCAAGGAGGGACAACAACTGACTATATCAAAGATAAAACATAAGGGCCTTTTTTAAATGTCTCCTGCATTATTCAATGGAAGTTAATGAATGAAAAAAAAAAAAAAAATCGAGCCGTGAGCCGCTGAATCAGGCACATCATCATCTAAACCACACTCCATAGCTCACTGACTGGACCAGCTTCCAGCTTCTGGGTGCAATGATTCTCTGTCATGTTTTCTTGACTCATATCATGTAGACAAACTGAAACTTAGTCATGTCTAACAGATGTCTCTAACAGATGCAATGATTGTATTGCAACAATTTTGTTACTCAAGTCATACATCAGAAACCTTAAAAAAAAAATGTGACCAAAGAAACTACAGTGGCAACTAAAATATGTAGAGTCCCATTTGAGAGTTTGTCTATCATGAATGAGACACACAGACAGACAGACACACACGAGCCCAGAGAAGTCTGAAACATCAGCACTAATGTCCTTTAGCAGAATCTTGCAGCTCCACAAAGAGAAACCTTTTATCCATGCCGCTGGCGTGGCTCTAGGGATGGCAATGTCAGTCAATCAGTCCACCACTTTGGTCCAGACTGAAATATTTCAGCTTACTGGATGGACTGCCATGAAATTTTGTAAACATTTATATCCTTCTCAGGATAAACTGTAATAACTTTGAAGGTCCCTTTACTTTTCCTCTAGAATGACCATCAAGTCAAAATTTCTATTTGTCTAATACTTTGATTTAAGACCAAATACCTGCAAAATTAAAAATTCTCGTCAGTGGCTTACTACTGCCTCAACAGTCATACTGATATAACAGGACAGGCCCTGCTGTTATCTCTGTCTCTGGATATTGTAACATCAGCCCTAAATCAGGAGTCATCACAAGTCAGCAACAACACAATACAACAAAGTGGAGCAACCAGGCAGATCAAACAAGAAAACCAGACACAAAAAAACACAAGGACATCACACATTTCCTTTCCGTTTTTCAGGGGACAAAGGAGCTTTTCAGAGAGAAACTGCCAGGGCAGCAGGCAGTCACAGCGAGTCACTGACCGGCCATGCCCACGGTCCACTGCTAGCTGCTTTGCAGATGGTCACTAGGACTGACCTGAATAACGTGGCTGAATGGAAACAGCAAAGTTGAAATAGAACTAGTAAATTCTTAAATGATCGATTAAGAGGGTGTTCACAGTTTAGATGGGTTACTCACAACATTTGTGCCTAGACATCACCGAAAACATCTTGCATTTTTACCTCTGGAATATGCCAACATATCAAAGCTCCTTTAATGTCTTTTGTATCAACTTTGGTTCCAACTTCTATTAGACAATGTTATTCAACAAGCTAATAAAAATTGCATATTTCAGAAACTGCAGTTGAAAATAATTTTCAGGAAGACCAGCAGCTCCGGGTTATTTATATTTCATTTGCAGCCTTAAGTCAGCTTGTCCAGCCAAAACATTAATGTCTTCTTCCCTTTTAACTATTGAACTTTTGGTCAAACTAGTCTTTGTTTATTTGTTGGGTTTAACTGCACCACACACACTCTCAATCATTTTTGGTCAGGTGTAGTCACAGCAGAGTTCTCAAAGCCACATACTTCAAGTGAAAAAACAAAGCTGTTGCAATAGTGTTAATGACTCTCAAATGTCACTGCACACTGTTTTGTTATGAGTTATTGACCCCAACATGGTTAAATGAAAACTTTCTGAGTGTTACACTTATAGCAAGTGTTGCACTTAAAAAAAAAATCAACCTGTTTCTTTTTTAGTGCTTTTTTTTTGTTGTTGCAAAGAACATTGAAACTGTTGATTTCCCTGCAATTGTGCAGTGTTGAGTCAGCCTGAAACAAGAAATGAAATGCTTTTAGCAGTTAAAGACTAAGGATGGGCTATTCTTTTTTATTTTTTTATTAATCAGTTGAATCCTATATTAAAATAAGTTTGGGGAATAGGTGACATATGCATGAACAGTATGTAGACAAATGCAGTGACACCATGAAAGGATACACATCCCTCATGTTGTCAATGTGCCGTGCCCTGAGAATGTCGTTGATGCCGATGATATTCTCATGGTGGAAACGCAGCAGGATCTTGATTTCCCTCAGTGTGCGCTGGCAGTATGTCTGGTGCTCAAAAGGGCTGATTTTCTTGATGGCAACACGCTGGTTCGTCATGTTGTCCATGGCAGAGCTGGACAGGGTGGAAAGCACAAGACAGGTCTCATATTACACACTGCATACTTCACACACAATGACTGTATCAGAAACTGGGCTGGTACTAAGCTCCAAATAGGGCGTTGTCTGACCGTCTCCACTGCCAAGATGCACATGTGACACGCATCTTTTTTTTTTGCTGTGATATGTTGTGAAGTGCTGTAGGTGTAGGCCTGAGTGTAGGTGCAGTGTCAGTGTGGTGTAGGTGTAGAGTAGATGGAGAACAGGCAGTGTTGAGTGCAGCAGTGAATGATGTGTTTCTGGGTCTGTTGCATTTACGGTCAATCCCCCTGTAAATTTCAGTGCCAAACCTGTCAGACCTTTCACTGATCGCTTGATTCCCTTTGTGGGGAAAAAAAACCCTCCAAGCTAGGTTTTTACACAGGCACTCACCAACAACAGGAACAACAGTTACATCACATCTTTCCTATTGGTAAAAGCATGTTCTCTTATTGCACAACACACGGCATGATCTGGTCAAGTTCACGGGCACTATTCCTTCTTCAATGGCTTAAATGCACTGAAATGAACAATAACAGCAGTAAAAGAAACATCTGTACGCTGTTTTAAAGCTAGTGTAACGCCATATATTCGGTTTTCTTACACTGTACCAACCAATGGGTGTTGACAATGTTTACAAACACCAAATGCTGCAACAGTGGAATCACGTGACCATGATGACACAAACAAAACAGCACCGTGCTGACACACTCCTGAGATGCGAGTGATCCACACGGTGAGTCCTGTTGGAGTGGATGTGTGGGCCCAGCTCTCCTGCTACCATCCACTTTACACTGACACACAGCGCTGTCACATCTGATCGTGTTCACAGCTCAGCGTCGGTAGCATTGACTTGGCATTGATACCAAGAGTAACAGGGTTGTTCAACATGTCCACACAAGGCTGTAGATTACATACAGCGATAACACGAGGAAAGGCCTCCCTCGCTACAACTGACAAATCCCACTTGCATCCTCTGCAGCGGCTTTACTGCAGGCTGAATGTTTAAGAACTGAGGTACAGATTAATGTGGCTGGGAGACAGATACCGGAAGAAACAAATGGCCACAGCGACAACTAGTTGGAAATCTGTGGTAAAATGCAGTCTGCAAACGATTTCTGATCAGATAGCAAACTACGTCCTGCGCAATCACTCCCAATCTTGTTTCCTGTAAAGCTGATAGCCACGCCTGTAGCTAGCCAGCTAACCTGCTAAACACAAGCTGGGCTTATTGAGGTTCAACAATGTCTGAATGTTGGGCAGCTATTGAAAATACAAACATCGTGACCGCACTCTCATTTTCTGTTAAACGTTTGTTGCACACAAGAGCTAAGATTAGCTGGCTGACAGTATTTGCTAACAAACAGCTTACGTTAGCTAGCACTTTTGATTCAGATACTACGGTAGCCCAGCAGAGACGACAAGCACAACTCACCACACCATTCCGTACGCCCCCTCCCCGATGTAAGACAGGTTCGTGTAACGGGGGCCCACATCGAATATCTGGCCCTTCACGGACTCGGACCCGGTCTTGGGTCCCGCTGCTCCGGGCGCTCCATCATGCGCAACAGTGCCAGCCGCCCCGGCAGCAGCAGCGCTGTTGGAGCCTGCGGCCCCGACTGCTGCGGTGCTGCTCGAATCCGCCATTCTTCCTCTCCAAACCGCTCCTGCTCTGTCAGAGTGTTTCACCAAGGGACCGCCGCCGTCGCCGCTCTCAACACGGTTTAACGTTTGTCCGAGGCTTTAATCGAGTGGATTGTTTGACTGACGGAGCAGAGTACCGACCGGGCCCTCTGTACTACCGGACTGTAAATGGATTTCGTGCGCGAGCGCGGATTTAGTCTCAGCACCGAGCGTAAATGCGCGTGCCAAACTACGGTAATACAGGTGCGTTAGATATACTACTGGGGTGACTTGTTTGGGCGGAGTCGTGCCAGCTGGCTACAGTTCGAATATGAGGCACCGCCTTTCCAGCTCCATTGTTACAGCGAAACAAGCGCAACCTGCAAAATAAACATGCAGCAGCGAGAGTGGGCGTGCCGAAATATGTTGCATGCTGCCTGTTACGGCAAGAATAATAGAGTTTATGATCAAATGGTCCATTTATCGATTTTTTTGGGACATTCCACCCCGACTACCACGGGTATTTTATTATAAACTGATTGCACTTTGTTGCACCCATTAACGTTATGTCAGAGTGCTGTGCCCACAGGTGAGGCCTTTTTGTTAGCATGTATAAGGATTTTACTTTATTAACATGAGAAAAACAGGATTCAGTTATTATAGTTGACAGTAAATGATAGTATATGTATTGTGCACCCTTATATTCTAGACATATTCATCAATCTGTAATGTACTGTAGTATTAAAAGAGAAACCTGTTATAATAAAAAGGGGAGTTAGAAGGGCTCACCTGAAAGCCTTTGCATTGTTCCAAGTCATAATTAGCATCATTGATGAAATGGGTGTTTGTTGTCTTTTGATATGTCTAAAAATTTCCCACATTCAATACCTTTCTAAAATATGATATAATATGTTTGTAATTTTTGCCTTGTGCATAGAGATAAATACAAAACTTAACAAAGTGATACTGTGTCAACCGAATCGTACACTACCAAATGCATTTTAAAACAAGCAACAAAACACACAAAGAGCACAAACACAAAGTTATTTTCATGCATACATATATATACATATTTAAAACGGAAGTAAACGATCAAATGATATGTCATTAAACGTCACACAAGAGAGCTCACCCAAAAATACTGCATGGTTTGTCCGAGTAGTACTCACTCATCTTCATCATCTATCAAATCCATACAGTTTCAAAACCAATGGTCCCTGGCCCTGTATAAAAGCCTACCTTTAATTTTAACATCTACACGGTCTGATAACCATGTCCTTAATTTGTCCATATTTGATCATCCTTGCACTTTTCTTGAGTCACAGCTTTGAATTTTCCTCTTTCGACCTAAGAGACAACTGAAATGTTAATAAATTTCCCTCAATTAAGGAGATTAGTTTTTTAAATAAATATTTACAAAGCAATATATGCACGTATTAACCAAAACAAAATTACAAGGGACACAAAGGAAACGCAACATAAATTGCGTTTGGAAAAACTGGCTTATCTGTTTTACATTCATTTATTTATTTGTAAGAGGGACAGGTTCACCATGAATACTCGAATGTGGTCACCGTGGAAACGATTGCGACTGCTGTAACCACACCCCTTTGCTGACGTCACCGCGCCGGGCGACGCACTTCCTGGTTACGGTGCGCTGAATGCTGCATGTACTGGTTGTACTGTTGTTGGTGAGTTTATCTCAAGGAATGGTTCATTTCCTTCTTCGACCAAACTGGATCCGTCGGGTTCGTCTAGCGCTCACTCTCTTTGGACTCCCGTACACCGTCTGCACCTCCGGAGTTAGGTATGGACTGAAACGTTATTTTTAAAGATTTATCTAGAAGATATGAAAATTTTACATTTATAGGACAGTTTAGGCTTTAAGCTAACATTGCAATCTAAAGAAGACATGGTTAGCTATTTATGTAAAACTTCTTGATCAGTTGCATTATTATCAGAGCCAGGCGATATGATTGTAGTCAGTAATACAGTAGCCATAACCTTTCGTTGTTTCCATATCAATACAAACAGTATTGACGTGGCTTATGTGCAAAATCAAAGTAAGTAACATATTAGTATGAAATGTTGAACAAATTTTAACAAATAATCATTCAAGCTTTTCTAAACTAGACTATTATTAATTTAGGCAACAGATGGGTGTACAGTAGTGTAGCAATAGCTCTCATCCTGTTTCAGTGATTCCCAATAGTGACAAGTGTCAGTGTTTGGTTTCTTCCTTAATATGTGTTGTCAGTTAATGACAGATTTAGGCTGGGGGAAGGTACTTTCTATAATTTGCTAAAGAGTCAGGCGGGCAATGTGTGGATGTGGGGTGGTGCCAGGATCATGCTGCTGCTGCAGCTGCTGCAGCTACAGGGAAGGCAGAGTGAAGCTTACTTACTGGATTTCAATGTCTCACATTTCTTCTCCCTCAGGTCTGCTATCTCCTGCTCATCTTATCCTTTCAGCACCGGTCAAACCATCAGACCAATCACTTCCAGTTGCTATAACCTCTATATGACCAGTGCCTGGACAATGCCATCATCATCAGCACCTCATGTAAAGTCCAGATGCCCCCAGTATCCAGGATCCAACATCAAGCGCTTCCCAGTGCCTGATGACAAGGTGGACTGGAGTCAGAACTGGCCGCAATATAAACCCGTCAGCTACACTGACCCTTCAGTTGCAAAGAAACCAGCATGGGCGGATCCTGATATTGGGTGAGCAACACAAAAAACTTTAAGTGCATCAAGTATATTTTGATAAAATTAGGACTGCATGTTGATTTAATTATAGATTTTCTTGTGTTATGTATGCCAATTGTTTTCAGAGATAATCTGCAATTTATTCATTCCTGTTTTGATGACTTTTTCATATTTTACAGCTCTTTCTCTCCACATTTCAACACTGTGGATGGTGCTGTGGACAGGACAGGCTTTGAGGGCAGCTACAAAGTGGAAGAGGGAAAGCCACTGTAAGTTATTGAGAACCAAGAGAAATGATTTTACTCAAAAACAGCTAGTTCACATCTGCATTTTGTGATTTTCAAGCTTCGAGGGGTACAAAGCTGACTATAAGAAAGTCACAGTATCAAGACTTGGTATTCTATATCAGCTTATGTACTTCTGATGGCTAATGTGTTAGCAAACCATTTCCTGATGTTACTTTAACATCCAGCAGTGGTTGTATAGAGCTACTTTTTTTGAATATTGATTCTCAAGCGAGGATCTATAGTATTAGCAACCCTTTCACATCCCAGAAATATTTAATTAAATCATTTCAAAGGCATCACTTAATGTATACCTTTTAAAGTCATTTTGGCAAATATATCGTCTTAAAACTTCTGAGAAATAAATGAGCAAATTCACTTTTTCTATCATTTAGAAATCCTCATGGACGTACAGGGCTGAATGGCAGAGGTCTGCTGGGACGATGGGGACCCAATCATGCAGCAGATCCCATTGTCACAAGGTAACATTTTATTTACTTTACACATTGGTGTCATCCAGATACTCACTAACCATAGGTCATTACTCAGTGAACATAGAGTACACATTCATGTACACATTAGAGTTACATAACTCAATTTAGTCATGTTAAGAATGTCTCAGAAGAGTAAAACTCTATAATGCATTTTTTATGAGGCAAGGTTTTTAACATAATAACAGTTTTCTGTCATGTCAAAAAGATGGATTTGCTCAATTACCAAAGAAAAGGGAACTTTGTGCACTATTCTGTTTTCTTTTGAAAAATGTCTGATGTACATCACTATCTGGCAGATGGAAAGTAGATGCCAAAGGAGTGAAGATACAGCACCCGGTCACCAAACGGCCTATCCTGCAGTTTGTGTCCATCAAGAGGAAAGACTGTGGGGAGTGGGCCATTCCTGGGGTTGGTGGCTTTTACAAATCAAATATTATTGATGCTATCTGTTGTTTTGCACTCAATCTTCTCTGCAACTTATCCTCTTACACTGTGTCATTCTACCTTGCTTTTTATTGTGCCGACCATGATGTGCTCGCAGCTATTCAAGAATACTGCCAAGACACAGAGGGGGTGGGGGGGGGTGGTGGTTTTGGGTATGTAAGATGTCATGGTCCTGTGACTTGCTTGTTCATGTGTGTGCACGTGCTTGTGTTGTAGGGGATGGTAGATCCTGGTGAGCAAGTCTCTCTCACGCTGCAGCGGGAGTTCTCAGAAGAGGCATTGAACTCCCTTTCACTGTCACCATCGCAGAAAGCAAAGATCCATGAGCGCATTACCAAACTCTTCAAATCACCAGGGTTGCAGGTCAGCAGTTGACTAATACTTCCTGTCTACTGTCACCTTTTATCCAACAAACGCTTCTATAAGGAAAACTTAATCTTTTTTTCTCCTTCAGGTCTATAAAGGCTATGTGGATGATCCTAGAAATACTGACAATGCTTGGATGGAGACAGTTGCAGTCAACTTCCATGATGACTCAGGTATAAATAATTAGGAAAAATTGTTTTTTTTCTTTTTAATCATCACTCTTTACGTTTTTGCACTTTGATTTAATACTTCAGAAATCCAGTGTGTCATGCTCCAGAAATTTGTCAACACAGCAATTTTAAAAAAGCTCATTATAGTTCTGAAGACATTTTCTCCCTGAGTGGCAACAAACAGCATTTTTGTGGGACAATGAGATGTCTTTGTCGTTACTGTAGGCGACAGTGTGAGTGAGCTGCCGCTGCAAGCTGGTGATGACGCAGGACAAGTCCAATGGGTTGATGTTGACTCGTCTTTCACCCTCTATGCGAGTCATTCCCGTTTCCTGGAGCTGGTTGCCAAAGAGAGGAAAGCTCACTGGTAACCAAGGATGAAGGACTGTTCTGATACGATGATGAAGGAAACATTAAGAGCATTATTGCTCTCTGTTCGCTTAGAGTGCCTGTGTATTTAGGATGCATGACACCCAACCTTATGTACCTCACTAATTTAAGCATTATCAGCACAGCTAAAATAGTGAAAGCCTAATATGCATCTCATTAGTTTGACACCCGCATATGTATGTCCAGTATATAATGCACAGCAACATTGTGGCTATGCAGTTTTAAGACTAATATAGAACTTATGAAATGAACAGAACTAGCAGGTTGAAAGCTTGGCTGCTAAAAGGACATGCAAATTTAAAAAGGTGTGAAATTGAACTTTTCCAACTGTGTTCAAGCTGCTGTCCGACTTTTGTAATAGAACAGAAAAGAGAAGAGGAACTGTACATGCTCATAAAAAAGAGACTGAGACATGAGACAGTAAAAAGCAAGATGCCGCTCAGTGGCACCCTTCACCAAAAGACATGGCTAACCACATTATTTCTATTGGCACAAATTATGTAAATTTATTCAATATTAACAAGGATCGCATTAACCCAGTGAGATCGTGTAAGAACAAACACAATGAGCTGCTGAACATAACACATACCACATGAATGTAAGTGTGATAATCAGAATGAAAAAGTGTAGACTGACTTTGATCTCTACGTGTGAATAGAATATGAAGATGTGCTGGAGCTCCTCACAGCCCAGCAGTGCACTGATGCTCGCCACAGACGGGCTGAAGCTTAGAGGACAAACATGTTTTCAAGTGCTAACAGACGGTGGAAGCAAAGGCCATTTCACATTCAACAGCTTGGCCTTTCCAAACGTTCACATCAGTATGTGTCATCTCACTGGTGGGCATACTTTGCAATGAGGCAGGGAGTGAGAATTGCGCATTAAACGGTTTGTATGTGTTAGGATTACTAATGCAAATGCTTCTATCATTGAAAGGTAGTCAGCAACAGACAGCCGAACTCAAATTAGTTTCTTAATGAGAGATAGCAGCATAATATTATGCTTCTAGCAGTAAAACATGTTTGTCTTCGGGCTGAATGAACAGATTTCAGAAGATGTGATGTAAATGTTTTACATGCTGTAACTCTATTGAGGATGGCCCTTTACTCTCATCACTGATCAGGTCCTAACATTTGTCTGTATGACATGATATTCAACCTTTTTAAACCTCACAGGATATATTTATATAGTACAATCTATAAATTCTCCACATCCATACAGATTCTCATCTCATTCAGCTCTGTTAGACTCCCAGTGCACCTAGGGCACTTACTCCACTGGAGCCTTTATGGCAGAAGCACTAATAGCATTTGTGTTGTGGGAAAGCCCTCTAATCTTTGGCTTTAAAGTATTGATGCTTTCATTTTTTTGGGCTTGTGGTTAGTACAAGACAAAAGTAAATAAATGACAGAATGAGAGAGTCATCACTGAGATGCTTCACAACCAAGTGATCAAAAAATTTCAATTTAAATTACTTTCATTTTAATGACCAATGTTATACATGAGGTTTTGCTTTTTGCTTTGGATTGTCTGTCTGCTATAATATGAAAATGAACACAAACTTGCACTGAATTTCCTGGAAGTGTCTGAATACTAAAGTGTTTGAAACTGTGTTTTTGTTTGATTCATCTACTTTAAATAGCAAATTATTATGAATTCTTCTGAACATCTTTTTCCTCACAAAATGTATGTGTCTTGAAACTGATCATTCTACATTGTATACTGTATGCACACTGTATTTATTGTCTTACAGTGTGGGTAACAGCTGTCCTGTCTAATGTCTCATGGTCATATTAGAAGCAGTAATCTTCAAATGTTCATGCACACCTTTAGACCTTATACACTATGAGGTGCTACAAAACCAAGCATTTGTTTCTTGCTCTACATGAGCAGATCTATACAAATGTCCGATGTGTAGATTTTTAACAAATTCTGTTGCAAAAAGAAAAAGTTTTCATGTGCAATTAAACACAATGGACTGAAGTTTACCTGGACTAAAGAGCATCAGAGACAAATATTTATCTATTGTATTTGTCATACTGTTAAGTTGTGTGCACAGTGACTGCTCTTTTCACCAGCATGATGCTTCTACTGGCTATTGGATGGTCTCATCTGTAATCATTTACTAAATCGGGTGCAATGTATTTCTAAGTGGCCTTGAACCAGACTGTAGCAAGCTATACTGCATGGTTACAGTGGCTATATTCTATATTGTAAGGGCAGTTCAGCAACACAGGCAATTAGGTGTAAGGTTGACAACATTTACATAACCTACACTGTATTTTCAGATCTAAAATTATTTGTAGAAAGTGTAATGTTACTGACTGGAGATTGTGTTGCTCACCAGACAATTTCAAAGGCCAAATATAGTAGAAAAATGTCAAGGTATAATCACTTACAAATGATTGTGTTTCCAGGTCAGGCTCGGTGGAAAGAACAGCTTAACAGTAAAATTGATTCAGTTTGCAGACACAGCTCTGCCTGTGTGTAGTCGTTAATGTTAGGGTGTATGCCTGTCTACACATTTACTGCAGACATAATTGCATATGAGCTGAGAGTCTGCTTGAAAGTGGAAAATATTTCATCCTCTTGACATAATTTGTAAGTTGTAAGGTCTCCTTTAGAAATTTAGTCTAACTTTTGAACAGGTTTTGATCTGTACATATCTCACTTGTTTACCTTTTTCCAAAATGAGGAACATTTTTCATCCTATCATCTCATCTCTCGCTCTTTGATGGCGATGATTACTCAACCATTTGTTGGCCCACATCCTGTTGCTAAGCTTCAGTCTTTATAAGCTAGGCTATGTATTTTATGCACCCCTCTTGAATGGCTGTTTACTTAAGTAAAATGCCCGGGTTGGTCATGTACATGGCAATGTGTGACACTGCAACTACATTACCCAAACGCCTTTGCGATAAAAGCCGCTGAAGCTGACGACGTGGCCGAGCTACGTCTCAACCCCGTGTTTCAACCAACGGACCGGGGTGATTCAAACAAGGCAAACCGGCTTTGTTCAGAGAGTCATAGACTGTTGCTTGATGCTTGAACGAGTCTCTCAGAAACTTTGATATCACCACTTTCTAACAATGTCTGGGAAAATCAAGAACCGAAGTGCCGCGAACGCAGAATCGATATCTGGCGGTGTGTCCTGCGATGAGCGCATCTTGCGGGATTGTCATCAGCTGTACACGGATCCCGACAGTGGTGAGTTGGCTGACATACAGTCTTCAGGACGCAGACCCTCCCTGGAAATGGCTCCAACATTGACTTTTTTGATAAAGAAGTGAAGCCAGCAAAGCCGCCGGCAGGGGTTACCTCGCTAAGTTGTAACGTGATGTTATCCCTGGTGCCGCAGGGGGCTAACCGTTAGCTAGCTAATATGCACGGGTGTTGTGATTTTGGCTGACGTTGCGCTGGACAGCATTAAGCTAGTTAATGTAGCCGTCCACGGATGCAGCAGCCTTTGTTAAGTAATTACTTAACGATGATTGAGGGACACAGCGGAGTACGGCAACGTCTATGTCATGTAGCTGTTCATATACTTGTAGTTTTGGTATAACCCAGACTGTCAGTTTGCAATAGACAGCTCAGTCAGGGGCGTCGCTAGGAAGTATGGGACCCAATGAAATCAATGAAGTGAAAATGCCATCATTGTTCCCGCTCCTTCACTATCAGTCATGCTCCTGACTGACTGACCTGAATCCTGCAACCACAGCAACACAGTGACTGGACAGATGCACCCTTTTAATGGAAACTAGTGCACCAGTTACAGCAGAGTTAATCAGTCATCGCATGTTTAGAGCTGCAATGATTAATTGCTTGAAACAAAATTAATTAGCAACTATGTTGTTTCAGTAATTTTTAAAGCAAACAAAGCCAAACATTTGCTGGTTCAAGTTTTCCAATGTGAGGATTCACAGCTTTTCCTTGTCATATGCGATATATCATATATGTGTATGTATATATATATGTGTGTGTGTAGAGGACGGTCAAATTAAGGAATCTGAAGTTGACACTTTTGGCTCTGCAATGTTGCGATGGTGGTAAAATAATAATGAAAAATAAAAAGCAAACTAAATGTCAATGAAAATAATTGCTAATTGGAGCCCTAATCATGTTCTCTGTCTTGTTCAGGGCTGATCACGGTGGCTGAAACTGTTGGTGTGAAGTTGCTGGCTCCCAGGAAAAAGATCACTGTGATGCTGATGGGCAACCACTCTGCTGGGAAAAGCTCCTTCATCAACTGGTAAATATATTTTACAGATGTATGTGACAGGAGATTTAACAGAGAGCAAGTCTGTCCACCCAAGATCAAACTACTCAACGATTACTGAACCACACAAAGCTATATATGCTGCAAAATAGAAATATTGCAATATTAATATCATGTTGAAAAGATATAACAAGTCTGCCTTCACTTAGACTAAGCCTGTCCATCTTCATTTCTGTCTGTACCTTCATTGACACAGTGTTCTCTACAATTTAACTGATGAATACAATCCACAATCATAAGCACATTAGCATCTTACTGGGAATACTCGCATCAGTCAGTACAAATTGTACACCACTCTGTTGATTGTACAGAATAAGATTTAATTGATTTAGTTTGGACAGTGGACAAAACTGACTTAAACACAAATGTTTCCCATCTATGCGTCACAAATTTGCTTGGTACAGGCTTCTTTATATTAAGCTTTGTTTTTCTTTGGCAGGTATGTGGAGGAGCACATCCAGCGCACTGGAGTGGCTATTGAGACCCAGGGCTTCAGCTTTGTCACAAGTGGACGCAAGAGAGAATCTCTCACAGTGAGTGCAACAGTATCTTATCTTTGTGAAATGTTCTTATTTGGTCCAGTAAAAAATTAAAGAAAGGTCCTTTCAAAAATGTATTTCTCATTCCCAACACGTTTCATTAAAAGTTGTACTGCCAATCGCTCACTTTCCCTGTAAGTCACTCCTCATGATAGTGATTTATTACATGAACATAAGTGAGATCTTCTCTAGTGATTTCAGTTCTTCTAATGGGCCTGACACCTGGTTTATAAACTGTCTAACTGATCTTTATCTTTTGTTCCTTAGGGAAATGCCACCCTTCATCTGTATCCACACTTCAAGCCTCTGCAAGAGTTCAAAGGTGAGATTTTCATTTCCAATTGGCTCAGAGATTTTCTATGTTTGTTGTTGTCTTTCCATTGTACAATCAATTCAACATGATTTACATGTGGCCTATGGAGGATGCAACACAAATTTGACGGACACAATGGATCAGTGTGACGGCACCCTCACAGCTCTGTAGTGTGAGCAAACGGTGTACCTAACACCTAGTCTTGTGGAAGATAAACGGGGATGGTTGATGTGTCACTCAAAGAAGCATTGCGTTTATTCGGCTGCACGTTTGTTAAAGCCGCTTCCGTTCTTCTTATTTCAATTTTCTGATCTCATTTGATTTCCAGGTGTTTCAGAGTACCTGAGCACAGAGGTCTGCACGTCACGACAGAAACGGTTCAGCCTGGTGACGTTTGTGGATTCGCCAGGCTTGGTGGATGGTGATATGAAGTATCCCTTTGACGTAGACGAGGTCATCATGTGGCTTGGTGGGTCGCCACTAACTGACCTTGGCTGCTGTTGTACTGTAGTCCTCAACGGTCCCCTAAGGCTTAGTGACACTGAGTGATTTTAAAGGGCATTCTTTAAATAGTGCAAAATCAGACAGATGTCTTGTTTGTTGAATCTGTGATACACTGGCTTCTAGAGATACCAGGCCATGTTGGAATTGAATTTAAATTACTTCCAGTGTATCTCTTGTTGTGTGTTGTTGTGTTGTGGTGTGTGTTGTGTGTGTGTGTGTGTGTGTGTGTGTGTGTGTGTGATATTTTTTTTTTTTTTCTCTCCATATTGAGCTAAAGCTTAAAAAAACAGGTTTCTAAAAGTACTAGAGCGCTATTTCCAGATAACAGCTGGTTGCACCACTTCCTTTGGGAGCTGACTGTGATTGGATCAAAGCAAAAGGTTGATGGTGGAATCATATTGTGATGAAAATGTGACACAATGCCAAAATTTGTGTTTAAATAAAATGTGATTAAAACTAGACGAATTTGAAGAAAATCCTTCAGGAAAGTTGAGGGAAATATTTACTCTGACATCATACGTCCATTACCATGCAGTTTAATCCAATAAGAATTAATTAGGACATTGCGTAATAGGAAGTTCAACCTGTTGTGGAAAATAATGGTCATTCCTACTGTCACTCTCAGGTGATCTCTGTGACCTGATTCTTGTGTTCTTCGACCCCATGGGTCAGGCTCTGTGCAAGCGCACCCTCAACATTGTGGAGAATCTGAATGAGAAACATGGGGACCGGCTGCATTTTTACCTGAGCAAGGCTGACGAGGCTGGGGGAGAGTCGGACAGACAGGTATGTACAACAACAGTGCAGATTAAAAATATGTTGAGAGAAGATCACCCGGTATCATCAAGTCAAAAAAACACATGCAGTGCTTATATTGTCTGATCCAGCCCCGCCTTGGAGGAATGATTACCTAAACAGAATAGATCCTCTTCATGTTAAAGTGTGTGGGTTGCTGGAAGCTGCTGCTAAGTGTCTTTTC